GTCTGGATCTTCGGGGAAAACGCTCACCCACCCCTGGTAAAGGGCCTGCAGATCGAGCATCCCGGGCCCCACCCCGACCACGCAGCACTACAAGCCAGGTCACCCCAGCAGAGGAAAAGGATGGACACAGCCCCATGTCCAAAGGCCTAGTCAATGGACTCAAGGCAGGACCAAGTACGTATATCATGAAACGTGGCAGAGAGTGTGGGTTAGGGCTGGGTGTGGCTGGTCAGACTCCAGAGGTGGGAAAGAGGGGAAGGTTGCCAAAAGGGTTCCACTTTTCCTCTGCAATGAATCCTGGCTTGTCTCTACAGTGGCCTTGAGTTCCAAGGGCGGCTCTGGTGCCCCTGTATATGTGGATCTCGCCTACATCCCGAATCATTGCAGTGGCAAGACTGCTGACCTTGACTTCTTCCGTCGAGTGCGTGCATCCTACTATGTGGTCAGTGGGAATGACCCTGCCAATGGAGAGCCAAGCCGGGCTGTGCTGGATGCCTTGCTGGAGGGCAAGGCCCAGTGGGGGGAGAATCTTCAGGTGAGTAGCAAAGGACACCAAGGAAGTAGTCTGGTCAAAGCTCACTCAAGAGGCAATAGTGGAACACAGTCCCTATTTATTAAAGGATGGGCCTTTTCTAAGGGCAGCAGGGCTGCTTCTGAGACCATCGGGTGCCCCTTCCCCCTCACCTACCTTCCCTTCATGTTCTCACATCAGGCATGTCTTATCTCCCTCCTAGGTGACTCTGATCCCTACTCATGACACGGAGGTGACTCGTGAGTGGTACCAACAAACTCACGAGCAGCAGCAGCAACTGAACGTCCTGGTCCTGGCTAGCAGCAGCACCGTGGTCATGCAGGATGAGTCCTTCCCTGCCTGCAAGATTGAGTTCTGAAAGAGCCGCCCTCCCTTCCCCAAGGATCCACTCCCCCAGCTCCTTTAGAGAATGGCTACTGCTGAGTCCTCTGGGGTTGAGGGACATGGGAGCTAGGGGGAGGGGAGGGAGATGTCTTGTTGTGGGGACTTGGGCTGGGCTAAGTGGGAGGGGTTGTCCCTCCCCCTCATCCATTCCTGAGAGGGGTCTCAAACCAAAGTTAACAGGGAGAGGATGGGGGAGGGGAAAAATTAGAATAAGATAGCATCTGATGCCTGAGAACCCTCTTCTAGCACTGTCAAATGCTGGTATTGAATGGGGACTGAGGATGGGTCTCAGAGAGCAACCTCCTCCCTCGTAGAGGGAGATTATATCCCCAACTCCAGGGACCTCTTTATCTCAATCTATTTATTTGGCATCCCAGGAAGGATTTCCAATAGTAATTTATGTGACCTGGGGGCAGGATACTGTCAGTGAGGTGCCCAGAGCTGCATCCTTTTCTCCATTTCCCATCCCCCATCTCCTCACCCACCAGGGTCTGAATTCTAGCAGGGGCCTGGGGGTATCCCACTGCTACACTGTTCTATTGCTTCCCTCAGTATCTGAATGTCTCAATTTAAAACTTGAAGCTCTTTAGACCAACAGACTGGTGAGAGGAGAAAGGAGCTTATCCCCCAGCCCCTGCTTTATACCATTCACATCCCAGGGCTGTGTCCAGACAGCACAAAAGGGCAAGGAGAGCCCAAGCCCCAATGCCAGAATTCTTTCAAACTCCCTGACTCTTTGAAGTTTTTACTCACCCCGTTTCAATTATCCTAATCCCTTCTCATCCCCTGCTTGGCTTCTGTGCATGTGGTCATCTGCTGTGGCCTGGTGTGTAATGGGTTAAAAATAAGCCACTGCCTGACATCCCAACATTTGACACCCCAGCAATGTGTGACTCCCCCAACATTCCACTATGCCATCCTGCAGCTGAAATGGGAACACTGGCTGCCTCTCCAAACCTGCTCTTGGACAGAGGATCTGGGAGGTGGAGGCCAGGCCAGAGGACTTAGGGAAAATGAGAGGGAGGAAGGAAAAAGGGAGAAGAAGCTGAGCCATAGCTTAACTCCTACAGAGTGAAATGAAAACGGGCTGAAAATACCACCCCAGGAGAGGACCTCACCCCAAGCAAGCCAGTGAGCAGCCCTGCCAGACTACTGCCAGACTGAGAAACCCAGAAGCTGGTAGTCATGTGGGCTTACCTTCTCTGCCAAGCGACTGGGAAACCAAAATGAGCCCACCTTGTGTTCTTCCTAGCTCCACCCTCCCCGTGCTGCTGTGCTCTGCTCCTCCCCACACTTCCCTGCTATAGTTCCCAGCTGCTGTAATGGAGCCACCTCCAACTCTAACAATAAACCCAGTTCATTGCAGATGATGTAGTGCCGCTTAGGCTTTTTCTGACTCCATACATGCTTAGTTACTGGGCCCCGGTTTCCACCTCTCTGCTTCAACCAGTCTTGAATTTATCTTGGAAGACTCCAATGCTTTGGATTACTGGAAACACTTGTGCCTGAGTATGGAGAATAGGAGCCTAGGGTGGGTACATACGTCTGGTTTGGGGGAAGGGAAGAGGGGCAGGGGGCCTCCTGGGGAGGGGATATGCATTCCATGGGGTCAAGAGTTAAGGACCAAACAACCAGGATCAGATACCCTGGACAGCCTCTTGGGCTAAAGAGGTAAGAAGCTGAAGGACCCTAAGAGATCCAGAGCCTAATGAGGTTGGAAACGACTCTCCTTGTGCAGTCAGGATTTCCGTGGAGTAAAATGGTCGACTTTTCTCCTCCATGGAAACCCTTTATAGTCCTAAGTATGTCAGAAGTGGCCAGGCTGAATGTGTATATTTGGGGACGGGCATATTCTAGCCCTCCCACTGTTCTGGGCTCTCTCATGGTAAAGATGTCAAGGGAGCAGAGAAAGGGCATAACCCCTTTATATAAACTCCTCCTGACACTCCAGAGTGAAAAATTAACAGGATGATTCCAAGAACGTGATGAGAAGGCATGTACCCTCTGGCACTTCACAGAGAGGGAAACTCTTTCCGGTCCCCCATCCAACACTCTACTTACTCAATAAAGACCTTTTGGGGACCAGACATGGTGGCTCACACCTGTAATCCCAGCACTTTGGGAGGCCAAGGCAGGCAGATCATCTGAGGTCAGGAGTTCGAGACCAGCCTGGCCAACATGGCGAAACCCTGTCTCTACTAAAAATACAAAAAAATTAACTGGGTGTGGTGATGGGCACCTGTAATCCTAGCTACTCAAGAGGCTAAGGCAGGAGAATCACTTGAATCCAGAAGGCGGCAGTTGCAGTGAGCTGAGATCACGCCACTGCACTCCAGCCTGGCGACAGAGCGAGACTCTGTCTCAAAAAAGAAAAAAAACAAACAAACCTTTTGAGATAGTGGGTTAACTGCTATAGGCACCTCTTGGGATGCCTGATGTCCGTTTTTTTGTTTTTTTGGGTTTTTTTTTGTTTTTTGTTTTTTTTTTTTTTGAAACAGAGTCTCACTCTGTCGCCAGGCTGGAGTGCAGTGGTGCGATCTCAGCTCATTGCAACCTCTACCTCCTGGATTCAAGCAATTCCCCTGCCTCAGCCTCCTGAGTAGCTGGGATTACAGGCATGCGCCACCATGCCCGGCTAATTTTTATATGTTTAGTAGAGATGGAGTTTCACCACGTTGGCCAGGAAGGTCTCAATCTCTTGACCTCGTGATACACCCACCTTGGCCTCCCAAAGTGCTGGAATTACAGGTGTGAGCCACCGTGCCCAGCTGACCTCTATATTTTTATAGTCTATTTTTGGATGCCTGATCCCTGTATTTTTACAGCCCATTCCTGCTCAATTATAATGGCTTTTGACTGATTCAGATCAGTTATAGACACAATTGACTCACATGACTCACAGTCACATATATATATATATACACACACACACACACACACACACATATATATATATAAAAATATATATTTTGAGACAGAGTCTTGCTTTGTTGCCCAGGTTGGAGTGCATTGGTGTGATTTCAGCTTACTGCAACCTCCGCCTCCAGGGTTCAAGTGATTCTCCTGCCTCAGCCTCCCGAATAGCTGGGATTACAGGTGTCCACCACCATGCCTGGCTAATTTTTGTGTTTTTAGTAGAGACAAGGTTTCACGATGTTGGCCAGTTTGGTCTCCAACTCCTGACCTCACATGATCTGCCCGCCTTGGTCTCCCAAAGTGCTGGGATTACAGATATAAGCCACCGTGCCCAGCCTATATTCATTCTTGAATTCACAAGGACATCACCATCATCCATCACCATCATTCTCATTATTTCATATTTATTGAGCACTCATAATGTTCCGGCCCCTGACTCCAATGACCGTATTACCCCTCCTACCCACTCCCATTCCCATCCCTGGATCTTTGGAAAAAGCTTCAGAATCATATCTGGCCCTCAGATACAATGATATAAGGACAAATTTCTTGGGGACCCTGGAGTGTTTGGTCTTTGGCCAGTCTGTCCCTGGCACAACTACAGAAATATATATATATATATATACACACACACACACACATATCTATATGTGTATATATATATTTATATTTATTTATTAAACCTTTGCTTGTATCTGTACAATACTGATCTCTGCTCATTGCTTAAAATAGAACCTGATTATCTCTACTACTACAGCATCTCCTAAGCCAAACAGCCCACCACAGAGGGAGGCCCAGTTTCACAGACTGGCTAAGAATCCTCTAGAGCATTTTAAGTAGTTGCTTTGAATTTTGCACAGCAGTTTAATACCTACTTTTCCCTAGAGCTATTGCCCAGAGGAACAGGACTGAGGCAGAAGGGGCACTTGGGGATGATATGGAAAGATCTATAAGGCAAGTCTAAAGATTTAGTGGCCATGACAGATGTTTGGGGAGGGGACTGTATTTTCCAGACATTTCAGATAGCCATCCCGGGCTCACCTGAGGAGTGCTGGCAAAGACAAGAGTCCCCCGAATGCACATATGGTCTAAGCATACCTTGAGAAGTTGTGACTATTTCCCCAGAAAAGTGAAGACCCTAGAGTCCCCTCTTTTGCATTTGCTGTCCCCAGATGGTGTCTTCAGCAGTGAAGCAGCATTTCCTTTAACAGTCTATGATTTCCTAGGATGCTCAGAGAAGGCTGGGTAATGAGAGACCAACCTACCCCAAGGAAATCCTATTCAAGTCTAATGGTTAGGTGAAGAGCCAATGGCTTCTTTGAACCTAAAACTGGCTCCTCCTTAAGCACAGCTCTGGCACAGGTATGCTTCATACCAAGAGAACTACTTCCCCAGACACTGCTGGTGAGAGCTGGCCAGTGAGTTAGCCAACAGAAAAGGTTGCTGGCTCAAATGGCTGGTATAGTGTGACACCACTAATGAGAAAATTAATCACATGTTGCTGGTGGAAGGGGTGAGTGCTGGTCATGGGCTAGAGACTGGCTCTGAGGGTTTGGATCACTAGATAGATGCTGGGCTTGAGGAATACCCTCTCCAGGCAGCTGATGGATCACCTCAGGGACCACCCAGGACTTCTAATTTATCTCCTCAGGGACCTCCTGGGCCTGCAGATCAATCTCCTCAGGGAACTCTTGGGATGGTTTATCAATCTCAGGGATGCCCTGAGATAACAGACTGATCGCAGAAGGCTCCTGGGCCAGCCTGCCAACCTCCACAGAGAACTCCTGGTATGGCTGGCTGACCTCCTCAGGGATCTCTTCAGCTGGGCTGCCAACTTCTACAGGGGTTTCCTGGACCAAGCCACCAACCCCTACGTGGGACCTATGGACCAGCTTGCCAGCCTCCACAGAGACCCCCTGGCATGGCTGGCTGACCTCCTCGGGGTTCTCCAGACATAGCTGGCAAACTTCCTCAGAGACTTTCTGGCACAGTTGGCTGGCCTTCTGGCATGGCTGGCTGATCTGAGGGACCTCCTGGCGTATGTGGTTACCATTGTCATGGTTCTCCTGGCATTGCTGGCTGATGTCAGGGACCTCCTGACATGGCTGGCTGAGCGCCTCAGAAATGTCCTGGCATGACTGGCTGATGTCAGGGACCTCCTGACATGGCTGGCTGACCTCCTCAGCCACCTCCTCGTATGGCTGGCTGGTTTCCACAGGTGGCACCTGTGGGGACTGATTTGGTTCAAAAATCTCTTGTTTCCCTTCTATGGAGAGCTCTTGTGCTCCATTCCCAGGGGTCTCCCGGAGCAGCCCAAGGCATTGATGTTCTTCAGTCACGTGTGAATTTAGGGAGGGTTGATCACTGAAGCCAAATTGGGAGTTACCATCTACTGTAGTAGGGGAAGAAGGACCAGCACTGGACACAGTGCTAGAAGGGCCACTGCTGTCTGTAAAGCAAAGTCAAGAGATCAAGTCAGAGAAGCTGGAAGAGTAGGCTGTACCCTGTGCAGATAGTTCAAATGCTAGAATGGTTGGCCTATGCTACTTACGTCTTGAGGGAAGAGTGTCTGAATTCTTCCTAAGTTAAGCAGAGACTCCTAAGTTTGCTTAGCTCAAGAACTGTCACCCTGGCCTAATGTATACCTTGAGAGTAACAATAAGGTACGTATAACACTTCAGGAGAGAGTGCTAAGACCCACTTCATCTGGTTCTTTCACAAATACACTCCCATCAGAATTCCAAGTTCCCAAGGCCTCTCATTCCTACTTTGGAAGAATATGAATACTTTAGCCCAGTGGTTCATAATCAAAATCATGAAAAATTTTTTTTAAATGCTAATTTCCAGTTTTCAACCCCAGAGATTCTAATTCTATAGGTTTAGTGTAAAGGTGTAGCTTGGAGGAGGGAGGAGGATGAAGGCAATATAATTTTGTTGGAACACTCCCAGTTGATTCTGATATACACCTTCTGTTAAGAATCATTCTTTAAAGCAATCAATGTATTTCTGGGGCAGAGGTAATCATTATTTATAGCCCAGACGGTAAGTTGGCAGGAGAATGTAGAAAAACCATGTAAATCAGAACAATAGGAAAGAAAATGGTTTACCTGGCTGGGTGCGGTGGCTCACGCCTGTAATCCCAGCACTTTGGGAGGCCGAGGCAGGCAGATCACTTGAGGTCAGGAGTTCAAAACCAGCCTGGCCAACATGACGAAACCTTGTCTCTACTAAAAATACAAAAATTAGCCAGGCATAGTGGTGGCTGCCTGTAATCCCAACTACTCAGGAGGCTGAGGCAGGTGAATCACTTGAACCCCAGAGGTGGAGGTTGCAGTGAGCTGAAATCATGCCACTGTGCTCCAGCCTGGGTGATAAAGCAAGACTCCATCTCAGAAAAAAAAAAAAAAAAGAAAATGGTTTACCCAAAAATGGAAGACGGCCATGGAATTTCTACATGGCAGTTCTTAACCTTTCTAGGCGTCAGTGGCCCCTTTGAGGTGCTAATGAAAGTCCAGGAAAAATGTACATAAGAATATTCACACTAATCTTTACATGTGATTCCTGAAGCTCATAGACTCTACCCTGAAACCACATCTATGGATCCAGGGTTAAGACTCTTGTAAGTCTTGGGACATACAATGAATGTTACAGGCTTGTGCAAATTATATACACAGAAAACATTAAAAAACTGATTTCCTAGATCCTGACAGTAGTGTAATAAAGACCTCAGAGTCTTCAATTACACTGTGGGATGATTCCTACTCCATCTGCTACTGCTTCATTGACCTCTAGTATGGGACTAACCTACTTCTCCCTTGGTAAAAATCATTTTTATTGATAATATTATAATGATATATTAAAGCACTATGGTATCAATAATGACAGATTCTGGGAAAAGGGGACATCGGAACATATTGCCATTGAAGGAAACCTCGAAAAGTTGGTAAACCTGAGCCTACAAAGGCTCAATCCATCATTGAGTTGAAGGTATGCTAGTTATCTCACTTCTGTAAAGAATCAAAGGAGGGGCCGGGGGCAGTGGCTCACGCCTGTAATCCCAGCACTTTGAGAGGCCGAGGCAGGCAGATCACAAGGTCAGGAGTTCGAGACCAGCCTGACCAATATAGT